TTTATAAAAATATTTGTATATCGAGTTAAATATTCAATTCTTTGTGATAAATTGCAACGATAATTATTACTATTATTTTATAACTAGTATTCTTTAATACAAGAATATTCTGTTGGTATGAGTACTGCTCACAAAGTTAACGAGCATAGCTTAAAGATTGTGCACGTACAGCATACAATATTGTACTTGCATAATTTTATAAGTGAAACTAAATATTTTGTTTTGTTTTAGAAATTTATTAAAACTAATTTAATAAATTAAAATTAAATATAACTTTATTCACGTTGAAAAAATTGAAATTCATGATGATTTGTGAAATGAGTGAATTCAGTATACTTTGGTTCTGAGTATATAACAAGATCTAGACAAATTCTACATTAGCATAACTAATATTTGATAAATTAAATAATAATTATTATTATTATACTTAACATCAAGTTTATTATGACTTTACTGTTGGGGTCAGTGTTGGCACCGATTTGCCAGACATACGAGTGGTGTCTCATAGGACTCATTGTGGCGGTGATCGCCTATTACTACATGTAAGTCATTTGAACTGAATCTCAGTTATAATTGTTAATTAAAACACTAATAATCACAAAATAAATAATGAAAACTCCCATTCATTGAGTACGTGGAGGAATGCCTTCAACTATTGGAAGGATCGACACATTTGTGGTCCAAAACCCATACCTATATTCGGAAACACAATGAGTCTTATATTCAAATCAAAACTATTAGTGGAGTTGGAGTGGTATAACACATACGGCAAAGTGTATGGGTATACATAATGCGAAAACAAATCAAAAATTTAAATCATTTTCTAATGATTTTTTTGATTGTAACGAATAGGGTCTTCTATAAGGGTAAGCCTTGCCTAACAGTGGCCGACCCGGAGCTCATCAAACAAATTCTGGTCAAAGATTTCCATTCATTTCGTAACCGACGGACACCTGCCAGCCGTCACTCCGTGTTCTCCAAAATCATGTTCAATGCCAGGGATGACGACTGGAAGCGGGTCCGGGCGATAGCCAGCTCTACCTTCACGTCTGGAAAGATGAAGAAAATGTATGGTCTTATCAACCATTGCTGCGAAGACTTTCTGAATAACTTGGATAAGGATGTGTCGAAAGGTATGAATGAAGTCGAGTTGAAGCAACTGATGGGCGCCTACACTATGGATGTGATCGCCAGCTGTGCCTTCG